TGATAAGATTTATCAACAAATCACAAATGACGCTCCAGGAAATTTTTTGGCTGATCCATCACATGGCTTCTCTTGTCCTTATTCAGCCAGTAAATGCATCCCACCTTCACAAGTGAACAACCGGCGTACAGAAGGAGACCCCAGCTTCAATGACCAGGCCCCACCTCACATCACCAAGTTGCATGGAAACTCCTCCCATGGGCAGCAGCCTAGCGTAAATGAGCTACAGATCACCATTCATCAGCCACCCATGAAGGACCCACCGTCGGCAAGGGCTGACCAGTCTGCACAGCCAGCCCCTAGCACCGACAACCCAATTTTTGGAGTCTCTCAGCCAACTGGTACTGACGGTACCATGCAGGTCCCGCAAGAAACTACACTTCTTGATGATAAGCAGTCGGCTCCCACCGTCATGCAGCAGCTGTCCTATTTAATTGAGTCTCAATCAGCACCCAATGAGCCCCACCGACGTGCTAGAGTTCGGAAATGCCCTAAGCACCTAGTTGATTACGAAACTGACTTGCCACCCTCTCTTTCTCCATCACGGACCATTGCCAATCATGCTGCCACGAAGGTATATCCAATTTCATAATTCATTAATTATGAAAAATTTTCTAACACTCACCGAGCCTATCTTGCTGCCAATACATCTCGCGATGAGCCTAAACATTTCTCACAAGCAGTACGAGATCCTTTATGGAGAGAAGCAATGCAAAAAGAAATTGATGCATTGGAACAAAATAACACATGGGCACTTGTCTCATTACCGCCAGAAAAGAAGCTGATTGATTCAAAATGGGTTTATAAAATTAAATATAAACCTAATGGTGATGTGGAGCGATACAAGGCTAAATTAGTAGCCAAAGGATTTACGCAAGTTGAAGGTGTTGACTTTCATGAGACTTTTGCCCATGTGGCTAAACTTGTTACAGTTCGGTGTGTGTTAGCAGTTGCCGCCAAGAAAAATTGGATTGTACCCCAATTGGATGTAAACAATGCATTTCTCCACGGAGACCTTTCTGAAGATGTCTACATGTGTCTACCGGCGGGATTTACCAAGGAAGGGGACACACGTGTTTGCAAACTAAAAAATTCTTGTATGGGCTACGACAGGCATCCCGTAATTGGTACCAAAAATTCACTCAAGCCCTTATTGGGGTCGGTTTTCATCAATCTAGGGCAGATCATTCACTCTTTATTTTTCAGGAGGGACCCATTACTACCTTTGCTCTCAACTATGTGGATGATGTTATTTTGGCCGGAAACCATCTTCCTCATATTGACCGAACCAAAAATTATTTGGATGCAAAATTTAGCATCAAAGATTTGGGGAAGCTCAAATATTTCCTTGGCATTGAAGTTGCCCGTTCTCCCCAAGGATTTGTTTTAAGCCAACGCAAATATACACTAGACATTTTAGAAGAAAGTGGTTATCTTGCTAGTCGCCCTAGTTCATTCCCAATGGAACAAAATTTAAAATTAAGGCCTGACGATGGTACCCCCACTTGTCGATGCCTCATCCTATCGACGACTGATTGGGCGACTCTTGTATCTCACTGTGACCCGCCCAGACATCGTATACTCTGTCAGTCAGCTTAGTCAGTTTCTTAGTGCCCCACGCCAAACTCATTTTGACGCAGCTATTCAGATTCTTCGCTACTTAAAGAACACTCCTGGTCAGGGTATTTTCTTGTCATCCAATGATGACATCACTCTCACAGGCTATTGTGATGTTGACTGGGCTGGTTGCTCATTTACTCGCCGATCTAGTACTGGCTACCTCATCACCCTTGGTTCCTCTCCCATCTCATGGCGAACAAAGAAACAGTCTGTCGTTTCCCGCTCCTTCGCCGAGGCAGAATACTGAGCAATGGTTGTTACCGTCAGCGAGATTTTTCTGGTTGCGATGGCTACTACGAGATCTTACCATTTACCAAACAGGTCCCATGTTACTTTACTGTGATAACCAAGCAGCCCGACACATTGCCCTTAATCCCGTTTTCCATGAACGCACCAAACATATTGAAATGGATTGTTATTTCGTCCAGAACGGGTCGCTAGTAATGAAATCCTACCCCAACACATCTCAACCGTTCATCAAGTTGCCGATATATTCACCAAAGCACTCGGTGCTGAACATTTTCAGTTTCTTCGTAGCAAGTTGGGTGTTCGTAACCTACACACTCCATCTTGAGGGGGAGTATTGAGATCCATAATATGACTTGCCTAATTTATTTTCGTTCTAGGAACATGTATATGTCTTATCACATAGTAATGCATGCACATGCAATGCTCACACAATAGCACAGGTAAATGTTAGTACTTTCTTTGTATACGTAGGAGTGCATGCACTTGCACTTGTATTGTAATAATTCCCTCTCCCTTAGCAAGGATAGGCCTCCCATGTAATATAAATATATCTATGCGTATGACCAGGCATATAAGAAGAAAAATACGAGGCTTCTATTTGTGAAGCATTCTCTCCTAAATAATTCTAGTATATTTTATTTCAGCCAATTATATATTTATACATTTATATTTTTATCACCAAAAGAAGAAATTCGCCCGAAATAGGCGATAATTTCAAGATTCGGCTGGTAATCATGGCTTCTGGGATCTGAGTGGAGAAGTCCGATTCTGGGTCTTTGTGTTCCAGTCAAGCAGGAGGCGGACGATCTTTTTCAAATCCGGCCAAGTTCTTGAACGAGTATTCCAGCCCATTGATCGGCAAAATTAATAGTTCCTAAATCTACAATTTCCCATGATGGTGATGTGATACACGATACATTCAAGATTGGAACTCAGGAGCACCGTCATCATCTACTTTATGGAGAATTCTGATTGGAAAAGCTTCTAAAGTGGTAATGGAAGATTTTTTACAAAGTCAAAATTGGGGGAACGTGAGTGCATCTAACTTAGAAAGCTTCCCAACGGCGATCTAACTTACAAAGCTTCCCAGCGGCGGTCTTCTTGTCAAAAGCTAAGGACTTCAGCTTTAATTCTCATATACAGAGTAGTACACTAGGCAAATAAATATGTTAAGAATATATTATAAAAATCATAATAAAAAATATAATTGATGTAGTATCACTTTGATCTTAGGGGCTAGTCATCCCGAATATCAAATTCAAACTACACAGCCCGAGCGACGAGTTGAGCTATGTCATTATTATTTTTTATTATTGATTTGTGTGCATTTTTTTACATTGAAGAACGGACTTATGAACACTCAAATACGCCTGAACGAGTACTAACACTCGAACTACCGGGTCACATTAGAGGAGTGTGGTTTTTAAGCTCACGGTCTAAATATCACATAATGTATATTCTTGTTTCCTGTGTTTTGAATTGGTCATGTGTGCTCCTCTCTTTAGACATCATGCTCCGATCTTGGGGGTAGTCATCCCGAATATCAAGTTCAAACTATCAAACCCCAAGTGGCGAGATGAGTCCTAGATACGGGTCACACTCCACTGAGCACGGAAATCTGGATTGAAAATTGGATGTCATTTACTTGGGCTCAAATCCAGTAACGAATTCCAGAAATTGTCACAATTTTATTTAAATGCATAGGTACCCCTGAATGAGGACTATCATGCTGATATCCCAAGCTTGTTGCGGTTATCTATCAAATGAAGATGATGCCACAAACAGAGCAGACCGGATGCATCAAACGGTCATTATTGAAGCTAAAATATATCGACTGATGAGTTCACCCTTTTGCTTCATTTTGGGGGCATCTGGTGTACTCTTTTTCCCTCGCTAGGATTTTTTCCCACTGGGTTTTTCCTAGTGAGGTTTTTAACGAGGATCTCCCCATATGGACAAAAGGTGACGGCCCTCGACCCCCAGAGGAGTCATTACGAGGCATTCACTACTCTACTCCTCTCAATCTCACCACTTCGGCCTCAAAGATGAAGAATTTCAAGAATAAGGAATCAAATTACTCCTCAAAAATCCAGCCCTGCTGATTTTAAGGAGTAGGGGGCTCGTGATGGAACAATGGATCACAGCCATGACCCAAGATTGAATTAAAGCAAAGCCCATCAACGGGATCAGCCCATCTACGGGATCAGCCAGGGGCGTAGCCAGGACACTGGGCTAGACTGGGCCAGTACAAAGAATATTATTGAAAAAAAAAATACACGAAATTTATTACACTAAAAATATTGACATTTTTCAAATTTAGGGTGGGCCAGGGCCTAGCCTGGGCACCCCCTAGCTCCGCCCCTGGGATCAGCCCTCAACGGGATCAGCCTAATTAACAGGATAAGCCCATAAACGGGAGTAATATCGAATGATCCACTGGACCCATTGGGAATCAGGCCCACGATAGGAATCCACATCCAAGTCGGGCTGGAAAGTAGACCTCGAGCTTGGGCGGAGTTCTAGTTAGGCCGGGATATTCTTGAGGCCTACGTGGCAAGGTACCATTCGAAGATAGATATTTGGCAAAAAAGGAGTTCGTGGACAAGAAGGAGATAGTTATTGCGTAAGAATCAAGCATCGAAGGAGTTCTATTTCAAGCAAGAATATAGTTCATTAATTAAGCATTTATTGTATTAGATTCCTCCCTAAATTCTACTTCTTAATCTCTATAAATACTTCATGTAAACACCCTATCAAGGGATCGGCAATTGTCATTCCGGAATAAGAGTAATACTACCTTACGCTGCTATATTGTTTTCAATATTATTTCGATACTTTACGTATATTTAGCTCTCATAGTTTGATTAAACTTCATCTTATATATGAATATAATAATTAAAATTATTATCCAAAATTTATCATCACCTAAAATTATTATAATAGTGTAAAGTATAATAAATGCTAGATTCATTTCGGATGTATAAAAATAAATAATAGGAATAAAAAAGCTTGCTATGTTTGTGGTTGTGGACAGGACGTGTGGGGCGGGTAGGTGCAAGCATTACTGACTATTACTGTGGGGGCCATCATGTGTCGTGTTGTGGGCGGGCAGGTGAGGAAGACTGACTGACCTCCAGAAGATGAAGCGGGGATGAGGAGTCACAGGCGGCGGCGGCCCCTCCCGGCGGCCGCCTGCTCCTCTTGGAATTGGAGCAGCTCATCAGTCCGGTGGCAGAGGAGGACTCCAGCTCCCATATCTCAGCTTGAATTGCTCTCTCTTGCTCCCGCAACTCCTGGATGTACTGGATTGCGTCTTTGATGATCGATGCTTTGTCCATCTGATGATTATATATATAGTCCATCACAAATACAATTCATACACCAATTAGGCAATTAATTAATTAATTCAGATCCAAATCATTCCGACCTTGCTGATCTTGGGAACGACGGCCCTCAGCGCAAACAGCCTTTCATTCAGCTTTTTTCTTCGGTTCCTCTCCGAAACTATGTTCTTCGATGCAGCCGATCCCTCCGGCGAGCTTGAATCGTAATACGCTCCTGCCGCCGCCGCTGCTGACGGGATGCAGCTGCCATCCTCCAAATACCTGCCCCCCATCAGTAAATACGCACAAATCACTTTACACCACCAATAATAATTAATACAGTAAATCATCAACCTACCTGTCTAACTCCTCCGATTGTAAGAAAGTGTGAGTTTCCCAGTAGTGTTCGTACTCCTCGCCGATCATTTCCATGCCTTCCCCAAACCAATTTACTGCAGCTCAAGTGAAACTCCCTTCTATTTAGATGATGATGATGATTCATTCAACTTCCTCGATTCATCCCTTCCCATATCTATACTCCTTCCCATATCTATATTCCTTCCCCTTTTTTCGAGTTTATCGCGCAATGACCAAATATTATTTTGTCATTTTGTTTTATACTCCTGTGCAAAGTTATTTTTTTGTTTTTGTCTTGCCATTTATGTGGGTTTTCATTTTAATCAATCACCGATGATAACAACCTCCGTTTCACCTCAAAATAATCCTGATTAATAGATTTCATCTAATCCTTTGTCATGTTATTCAAAGAGTATATAATTTTATTTTTAGAAGGCGTTTCATATATATTTTTAAAATGTGAATACTTAGTTTTTTATTGTTTTAACTATCATACTAACCTCAAAAAATTATAAAATGACAAATTTAAATATTTCTAATAGATTTATGTAACTGACAATAACTTCTTTTGTAAGTAGAGTAGTTTCGGAATTAGATATGGACTAAAAACAAAATAGAGCATTTTGTAGGGATGAAACACAAGAAAAATATTTTGGCAAGGATCTAAAACAAATTGTGTCATATTTGTAGGGACTAAAAACATATTTAAGCTTTTTTATATATATACGAGTATAAAAGAGTGGCTTTTTATATTACTATCAAAAAATCGTACAAAACAACTTGCATACAGTTATGTGAGAATCGATCGTAAGCCCATATAAATATACTTAGAATCATTCATCTCAAACAATAAAGTAACTTAATTCACTAGATACAAAATGGACAAATTTAAACCTAAAATAATCAGAGTTGTAATATTGTCTATCAAAATTAATCCAGAAATCAAAATATCCAAACCAAACATACTCGAAACAAAATAAAAATAAGTACTATCAAAGGAAAAATTGAATTGAAATAAAACTCTTTCACAAAATTCTTCCTGACACGGAGGTGGTTTGGGAGGAGGACCGAGGAGGAGCTCTATCATTATCTATGCAACCCAAAAGAAAGATGCTAGAAACCCCTAAGCAGACACAGCTGGTCGAGACAGCAAAATAACTCCCCACATCGAGGGAGACAAAACAACCCGGAGTGACAGTGCTCGGGAAAAATTGTCAAAGCACAGAACAAATACAACCACAAAAGAAGAACAGTTCAGATTGGTCATACCCCTAGTCAGAATCCCCGCTACCTAGAAAAGACATGGAATCCGCTACCTGCTTAGATGCGTCGTCCACTCGTCCATGCTCTTTCAACTTTACATGCATATCTGGAGGCTGGACGGTGACTATATTCTTAGAGGCAGGCAAACGGCAGCGGGGCAGCAGGCTGGAATGCAAGAGGCTGGAAGTTGAAAATGTGGCACTGAGATGAGGAGCAGTCGCATAAGGTCTATTAAAAAATGCACGTAGTATAAAATTTAATATGCTACCTAGTATTTATAACTTGAATTCCGCAACACTAAATTAACTTATTCACTTGTAACAAGTTCTCTCTTAGAAATTTTTATAATATATAAATGTTACATGCAGGAGCATACTAACATAGCTCGTATATTACTCTTTTTTTTTTCAAAACCACCTGAGTAGGTGTGGTAAATGTCGGGGAACATTTACCTGTTATATTAATTATAAAAAGATGAGTACATGCAAAAACTGGTAGAGGGGGACTTAGGCCTTGCCTCTAAATAAAAAGGGGAAGGCACCTGGCCCAAACATCCAAATTTGAAAAAGAAAACACCTTCCGTCCAAAATAATCGAATAAGGTTCTCTGCCAACAGCATCTGGCCAAAAGACCTTTGTCGCATAACCCTAGCTTCGAGATTCTTCTCTGGGGAGAGAATCGGAGTTGTAAGCTGCTATAAGCTTTCGGACAGTGATGAAACCTTTATCAGCCTGCATCTCTAAACATACCGGCACCTTGTTTATCGTTGAGGAAGGCCTCTTTAGCTTTTGTCGGGAGTGTGTCCGCAGAGAAGTGTGTGATAGCAGATGTTCTGAGGCCTGACTGAGCAAGGAAGTGTGAGTCGGTGTTGGATTCTCGTGGTCGATGAACAAAAGAGAGACGATGTGTAATACTAGGGGTGGGAAAAACCGAACCGAAACCCGGAAACCGACCCTGGACCGACCCGAATTATGATTCCGGTCCGGGTTTTTTCTTTTTAACTGGCCCGAATTAAAAAAAACCAGACCGAACCGAAAATTCCGGGCTCATTAACGGGCCTTAAAATCTATAACCCGGCCCGGACCGAAAAAACCCGAAACAATTAGTTTTAAGATAAAATTAATATAGTACTACGTATATGAATATAAATAAAATATTTCCTAATATATGATTATAATCACGGTGGATAAAAAAAGATTTAGTAACTTTTAGTGACTACAAATATGTTGAATTTGTTTAGCGTAATGATGACCATGAGAATATATTTATAGCAACTCTCGTAACTTTTTGATTTATAAAATTTATTTCATAATATTTTTAAGAAACATATATTATTTATATATATGCATCTTACATAAAATATTAAGATAATTATCTTCTTTAAATTTGAATTGTTGGTGATTTTGGAGACTAATATTTGTGTTATTATTTGCGGTTTGTATTTTTGATTAATTTTATTTGAAAATAAGTGTTAAAATATAAGAGAACAATGACATATTTCACATCCGGGCTTTAACCGGTCCAACCCGAACCCGGACCGAACCCGGGCTACCAAAAACCCGACTCGGGCCGAATATAATGGGCTTTGTTCCGGTCCCTAATTTTCATAACCCGAGACCTTCCGGGTAATTTCCGGGTTTAGCAAAAACCCGACCCAGACCGGACCGATCCCACCCCTATGTAATACACACCCTTCGCAGTCGTCGTCTGTTGCATGTAAGATGGTGTTTTATGCACACCTTCGCACATTTGAATACAGATCCTTGAGTCATTTTGGATTTGGAAATTCTTGTAACCCAATTGTTTGATAATTGTGACTGAGGTATCGATGGAGCATATTTCAGCGTGCAGCGGGTTGGTTGCCATAAGAGGTAAAGCAAACGATTCTAGCAACTCACCGTTTGAAAGCCGAAGTACACCACCGCCCGCCGCATGTTCATCCCTGAAGATATTACTCATTTCTAGCTCGTGTATTACTCATTTCTATAAAGATATTGATAGAGTGTATGGGCTCTTAATGGGAAGCTATCAGATATATATTATTTCTTTCTCGATTAATTATAAAATATTACAAAACTTAATTGTGATATTCAATTAAAAAATAAAAGCATAATTAAAAGTATACTAAAAACTAATTTGATATATGAAACTAAAAAAGTTAAAAATAACTCAACACTAAATAAAATAAAAAAATAAGTAAATGTCATGTTACGCCCTATCTCACACCAATTCAAAAACAATTATATTATTATTGTAAATAAAATGTAAATAAATTTTTTTATTTATCTCTCTCTCTCTCTGTGTGCGCGCGTGCGTGCGTGCGTGCGTGCGTGTGTGTGAAACTTGCTACTTTTCTAATTTACTTGACCTAATTTATTAATTTACAAAAACCATTAGTAACTTAGTAAATGAGTCAATAAAAATAACAAGTGATCCTTTCATGATTTTCATAACTCGTTTCCCTCATTTTTTTCGGAATAAGGCTCAAATTGGACACTATGGTTTCATCAGAATCTCATATTAGACACTAAGGTTTCAAATGGACCAAATTAGACACTATAGTTTCATATATATCTCATATTGGACACTAAAGTTTCATAATTCATAGTTTTTGGACACTCACTTATATTGGATAAAGATCAAATTGGACACTCACTTATATTGAATTATGAAACTTTAGTGTCCAATATGAGATACATATGAAACCATAGTGTCTAATTTGGTCCATTTGAAACCTTAGTGTCCAATATGAGATTCTGATGAAACCATAGTGTCCAATTTGAGCCTTATCCCTTTTTTTCCTCAAAAACTTCATTTTCAAAGAAAGCAAACTATAATGTAAATCAAGAACATGCCCAACATCTTTTAAAGTGAACATGGAGCAAGAAGAAAATCTAAGACGTGCATCACCAATTTCTAACACTTTTCATTTCTTTTTATTAGCCATGGACACATAGTCATTCTCAATTTGCTTATAATTTGAAAAGAGTTTTTTGAAAGGATTTATAAGAAATATATAACCATAGTCAACTAATCCATCAAATTCACGTAAAGAATTAGAAAGCATGAAGTTAGCACATGCATGATCACACAGTTTATTAACCATAAAAATATCACCCTTTTTTCTTCACAAAAAGCCACATTAGCATTCTCATTATGCTGATTTTTATAAGATTTAGGACAATTCTTAATGAATTCCCAAGATTCATGGCCATTGTCTCCACCATATTTAATGGCAGATTTGACGTCGTTATATGAGTCAAGCATGACATTTTACAAAGCAATAGGACTACAATCATCTATGTGTTTATCAGCAGATAATTTATCATAATAGAAAATAGCCCCAAACTATAGTAACAGATCGTTAAATAACTGGTTTGCAATCAAATTAGGCGGGATATAATATTGAACTTTGCCCCAGTCATAAAAACAGCTTCTCTTACTATAGCATGAGTCACTTGGTTCGTTGGACACCTACCCCAGTAAATCTTGAGGTTAACATTCTCACTCAATAAGAATTTAATGTCATAAAAAATAACCACCTCATAGGAGCCACACTTGTCTCTCCTTGTATGCCCAAAACGACCAATGTTACCTTCGTCTCAATTCAGACTTTTTGCCATCCCATCTCTCGCCCAAATTATCGCTTCTGCTTCCACCGGAGACCACACAGCTTTAGCAACTCGACTATGCGCACAAAGGAAATCCCATTGTTGTCTCTACCAACCCAACCCCAAGCCCACAACATGTGCTGGAACTATTGCTGCATCAACTTAATTCTAATCCAATCTACCTCCGACTTCTGTGATTTTGCATTGGTGTGATTCAGATTACCTCTTTGCGTTCTGCCGCACTGCTCTGGGCTTCTTTCTAGTTATTCAACATGCCAAGAGTTGCACGCTTCACGCCTTGACTCGAGAAAGCCTCCCCTCTCCACACAACCCCATTTCTTATTTTCCTCCTCATCTAATGCTAAAAAAAACTTTCTGAAGACATTCCAAAACCGTCTTCCCCACTACTA